TAAAAATGGGTTAATAATTTGTATAAAAATGCTTAAGAGTGTTGTATTTTTAAAAGACTGTAAAATACTTTGTAAGAAGGCTGCATGATGACATCTTAAAAATGTGGCCTCAGATTGATTGTTATTTGCCTAAGCTCAAGATCAGAACACAAAATTGATTACGAAAATGGTCAATGCTTGATGTATGGATGGAAGCTATGCATCCTTACTTAAAAAATAATAAAGCAGCTACAGTACTGCACAGTTCAAAAAGATTAATTACTCTTATTAAAAACATGTATTATTGTCAGGCATTTTATAAATGTGCTTTTAAAAGTTCATTAAAAATGGCCTAAAAAGTCAAAGAAAAATGCTGTACTTGTAAAGTATTAATGTATAGTAGCCTATTCATCAAAATCTAGAAATGTTGCTTGGACCTGATAAATATAGGCTATATGTTGTAAACATTTTCTCATCTCATGTCATTTTTGTCTTCTTTTCCGGGGCCAAGTCGCAGAAGCAGCAGTCTTAAGGCTGATTTATACTACTGCGTCAAACGCCGCAATATGCTACGGCGCTGACGCATAGCCCTTCGCCGTGGCCATCGGCATCACTGACGTGCACCTCTCAAAAAATTTAACTACACGTCGCAACAACGCGTAGCGCAAGCTCTGTGATTGGTCGCACGAATGGCGCGAGCGATTGTTTACAAGTGTGGAGTCCTGTGAAGGAGCTCCGGATGGATAGTTTTGTTTTGTGTTTACCTCATAGTTAAAGTTGTTGCACGTCCGCCGGTTCCTGCCTCAAAATGAACTGCCGCTCTGGGCAGAGGACGATCATGCCGCCCTCAACCCCAATGTGAAAACGAAAGTGACCGGTTATGAAAATGAAGTGAGGTGTCGCGGACCTCTTTTTCAGCGCACTATGCGCGGATATAACTGAGGACGCGCGGGTGCTGAGGGAGGGAGGGAGGGAGGTGTCGCGGACACTGCGCTCTCAATTCTGCCGCCCTATGCGCGGATATAACTGAGGACGCGCGGTTGTCGCGGACCTCAATTCTGAAGCCCTATGCGCGGATTTAACTGAGGACACGCGGGTGCTGATAGAGGTGTCGCTGATGCCGCCCTCTCTATTCTGTCGTCTATGCGCGAATATATCTGAGGACGCGGGTGGTGAGGGAGGTGTCGCGGACATAACTGAGGATGCGAGTGATAAGGGAGGTGTCGCCGATGCCGCCCTCTCTATACTGCCGCCCTAGGCGGCCGCCTAGGTCGCCTCTATGGACGCGCCGGTCCTGCTTGCACATCCCGGAAGAGTTCAGGAAAAGCAAAAAAGCAGCGAAGAAACTTGATACAGAGGAACATTTACACCTCACTGCCAACTAGCGTTTCGGAAGTGTTAATGCAGACCAACAGAGACAGCGCGCAGAAGTATAAATGCACAGCCACGCGCGTTACATGCGCCGTGGGTTACGCCGGTCACCTGACGCAGAAGTATAAATCAGGCTTTAGAAGAAAACCCCAGATATCCCTCTCCCCCCAGACACTTCCTCCAGCTCCTCCAAGGGTGATCCCGAGGTATTCCCAGGCCAACCGAGAGATATAAGCAGGTCGCACACCAGAAGCGCCACTCGGCGCCGCGACACGGCGCGTACATGACAGTTTGAAGTATCGCACACCAGACGCGCACATTCGAATGATATTTAACATGAAACTAATCAGATGGCGCTCTGTGGCGCGGCTGAAAAATGAACTGCGTCCTGAGCCGTCGCCGGGCGCCGCCGACAGCCGTCGACTTGCGGCGCCGGTGTGTGTATCCTGATAGAAACCTATGTTTAGAATTCTAAAATGCATGGCGCGGCGTGGCGCTGCGCGCCGCCGAGCGGCGCTTCTGATGTGCGACCTGCTATAGTCTCTCCAGCATGTCCTGGGTCTTTCCCGAGGCCTCTTCCTGATGGGACATGCCTGGAACACCTCCCTAGGTAGGTGTCCAAGAGGCATCCCAAACAGATGCCCGAGCCACCTCAGCTGACTTCTCTCAATGACAGAGACAGCCCTTAACAGAGCACCTCTGACCCCATATTCCCAGAGCACCCTCCACAGAATGCCATGAGGAACACGGTCAAATGCCTTCACCAAGTCCACAAAACACATGTGGTTAGGCATAGTCCTATGAACCCTCAAGTACCCTGGTAAGGGTATAGAACTGGTCAAGTGTATCACGGCCTTGAGGAAAACCGCATTGTTTCTTCTGGATTCTAGGTTCAACCATCAGCCGGATCCTCCTCTCCAGTACGCGGGCATGCTGACTTCCCCAGGGTAGGCTGAGGAGTGTGATCACCCAATAGTTGGAGCACACCCTCTGGTACCCGTTCTTAAAAATGGGAACCACCAACCTAGTCCAGAGGTACTGTCCCCGAGCTCCATGCAATATTGTAGAAACGTGTCAGTCAAGACAGCCTTACAATATCCAGAGACCTTAGATCCACAGGGTGAATCTCATTCACCCCTGCTGCTTTGCCATTGCAAACCTTTCAAACTACCTCAGTGACCTAAGCTTGGGTGATGGGTCAGTCCACTCCTGCATCCCCAGTCTCTGCTTCCTCAATGAAAGGCATGTCAGTGGGGTTGAGGAGATCCTCAAAGTATACCTTCCACCGTCCTACAACATCCCTAGTCGAGGTCAACAGCTGCCCACTTCCGCTGTAAACAGTGTCAGTGTGGAACTGCTTTCCACTACTGAGCCACCTAACGGTTTGCCAGAATCTATTTGGGGCCAACCGGTAGTCTTCCTCTATGGTAACTCTTCCCAAGCTCAAGTTTTTGCTTCCGCAACCACCCGGGCTGCAGCACGCTTGGCCTGTCGGTACCCATCAGCTGCCTCAGGAGTCCTACAAGCCAACCAAGCCCTATTTGATTCCTTCTTCAGCTTGATGGCATCCCTTACTTTCGGTGTCCACTACTGGGTTCGTGAATTGCCACCTTAACATGCACCACAGACCTTACTGCCACAGCTCCTCACAGCTGCGTTGGCAATGGAGTCAGAAAACATGAACCACTTGGTCTCAATGTCTCCAGCCTCCCTCAGGATCTGGTCAAAGCTCTTCCGAAGGTGAGAGTTGACAATCCCTCTGACTTGAGGTTCAGCCAAATGTTCCCAGATTACCCTCACAATACATTTGGGCCTGCCAGGTTTGTCCACTTTTTCTGCCTGCCAGCAGATCCAACTCACAAGAGGGTGGTCAGTTGACAGCTTTGCTCCTGTCTTTACCCAAGTGTACAAGACATACGGTCAGAGGTCACATGATACAACCACAAAGTCGATCATCAACCTCCGCCCTAGGGTGTCCTGGTGTCATGTGCACTGATGGACACCCTTGTGCTCAAACATGATTTGCCAAATAATTTGATTACTGATTTCTATGTAAACATAGGCACTGTATTTCCCCCCTGGGTCTTTGTGTGGTTTTGCTTTTGTGAAAATCAACGCATGCTTGAACAGAAAACTCTACTTTTTATGCAAATTCTTCCCTCTTTTGTCACTCAACACTCCCACCTAAACAGAGCTGGGCTCACCCACTTGCCTGACTTTTTTCAAACTAGAGGTGTGAAAACATCCTCCATAAAATGATGGGGGGTGGGGTCATGGCTCTTTAAACATCCACTAAAATGAGCTACAGTTTTGTCTCTGTCGCACGTTTCATTCACAAGCGAAAGAGGGTTAAGCGTGTGGTTTAGTTGATTGGTTGCTCCCACATGTGGACTGTCCAATGGCATTTGTCCAAATGGATTTAAAAAAAGCATGTAGCAAAAAGAAAAGAAAATGGCTAATAGAGAGAGTTAAAATAAGCACCTTTAAATGTCTATTTATTTGTCCATTAATTGACCATTGAAACTGTTATTCAAGGCCGTACTCACACTAGGTACAGTTGCCTCGAACCGGGCCAAAGCATGCTTGTCCCCCCTCCCGTCTCCCCCGACGGCCTGCACTCACACCACAAACGGGCTTCGGCACGTTTACGTCATCGCTGATGGGCACAGTGGAGATTTCTCTAGTTATATCGTTTCGGTCGTTTGATATGCCGTCAAATATTTCGCCAAACAGTCCTTAGGGATGCGGGGACACGCAGTCAGATATTTCGCCGAAAAGATTCGCCACTTTTGGCGCTCATAAACAATCATAAAGCCCTCGTGCTGCAGGAATGAGGAGGTCTGCTGAAGGCGCGCAGCTGTCGTGAAGTGAGGGGTTTGCGTCTTTAATAAATGACGGCAGTTTACGTTCACTGAACAGTAAGAATGATTAATAAATCCATATGAAACAGTCCCTTAAAAGTCATGTCTCGCTTTAAGTTTCGGGCTTTGGCGCGTTTTGCACTCACACACAAGCGTACCGCGACAAAGCCCAAGTGAACTGCGCTCAGGCACATCTCTTCCAACCGGGCCAGGACCGGCCAAGTGAACCGTGCTTGAGCCCGATTCAGCGCACTCACACTTCTCAAACGATCCGGGAAACAGGCCTGGGCACGGTACGGATGGCATATTGTGAGTAGGCACTAATTATATAAATTTTTTATCCTTCAATTATTAAATTGATAATTTGATTCTTCATTTTATTTCCAACCGGCCCTCCTGGTCCTCCATACTTATGAAACAGGCTGTCTAATTTGAACAGTAAATAAATACAAAATGAAAAAGAACAGTTATGAACAAGAATTTAATGTGAGATCATAATCATAACCAAGGTCATTGTCTTACAATGGGCAACATTGAAAAACTCAATTCATTTTTTTGATTTAAATAAATGTAAACCTTTTTGAAATCAATTCTCCATGTTGAGTAGTTTGCATTAATACAAATTCATAAAACAAGGAAAAAACATAAACAAAAATATTTCTTTTTTACAAAAAGAAAACTAAAATAGAATTATAGAAGTGTTATCGTCTCATCAAACAGACATCGCACATGCAACATGAATTTTAATCAATATAAAAAAAGGAAGAAACCATTCCTTAAACTCGCAGGAAGATTCACATTTGATCTGTTTTATTGCTTTAACGAGGGCTTAAATTCCCTCAGGACCCTTCTACCGTAATCTGTTAAATGGATAAAATGAGTGATGAAAACACAAATAAAAGTAACACCCAACAGACAAGTCACCTTAAAATCATAAAGTGTGTGCACAGACACACAGAGCACACACACAAAACAAGCTAAATAAACAAAGATGTCCGGCTCTGTGACTTGTGAGCACGAGAAGACCACCGATGACCTTCAACAGGCTCACCGTTCATCATCATCATCACTTGTGTGTGAAAGTGTGAAAGTTTGATTTGTCAACATTAGGTGTTGATTTCTGCATATCTTCAAGAAAACTGGAGCTGTTGCACGCCTGGGATCTGCAACAGATGAAATGCAAAAAACAAATCATTGTCTATTTAATGATGTTAAATTGCAGATGATAATATATGAACTGTTAAACTGCCCAGTGCAAAATAAACCACATTCTCTGTGTGCATATCTGTGCTTGTAATACACTATCAGGTTGTGGAGAATCATGTGCTTTTAAACTCAGTCAACCAGGGCCGGATTAACCAATGGGCCTTATGGGCACAGGCCCAGGGGCCCGTGCGCACTAGGGGCCCCTGTGAGGGGGGAGAAAAAAAGACAATTTCGGAGTGTTTTTTTAGGCTAATTGCAAATAGCGCATCTAGTTGGAATAAGCTATTCAGGGTTTGTGCCCATCGATGCCTGATTGATAGAGACAAGATGAGTAAAGAGCTGTTATTCATTACAGCCACAGTGGCGCACCTTGTAAGGCGCACAGCAACATTTTTTGACGAGATTAATCATAAAATCGGTTCGAATCCACCATCAGCTGAACTCGTGCTACTTTTTTTTCTCCCCGTTACATATCAGATTGGAAATATATTTATTTTTAACAGGAAGGAAGCATTTTTTTAAAATAATGCAAATGTGATATAAAGTCACAAGTGCCTCGTGGGTATTTAATAATGTTTAGCCTTATTATAGGTGCCTCCCTCTCTGCAAAAACTATATTGCTCAGACGACTGTATTTCCTCTGAGCAAAAAAATCGCGATCACATATTAATATTATTATTATATTTAAACTGCCTTTTTTCGTTAATTAAACAGAATGCTGTAATTGGTCAAGCGCGGAAACGTCAGTTTTGTAATAACCCGCACTAAACTGAGCGGACTTTGGTGTAACGTTATATCTGTCATAGATCAAAAATGAGTGGACAAGTGTATTTAGCAAACGCGAGAGAAAGAGGAGAGGAGGCATCTTTATTAAGGCATTTTCCATACACACCATCTTTAAACAGACCCTTGATCAGGAGAATGAGGGTACAGAAGAAGACGTTATGGTAACTTTAAATGATGAGATAGCATTAAACAGGCGGAGGAGGCTAACGGCAGCGCAGCGCGGACTGGATTCATCGTGTGAGAGACAGACAGAAAAGGAGAGAGAGAGGGAGAGAGAGAGGGAAAGGCCCAGAAGAGGAGAGAGACGGGAGAGAAGAGGTATAGTGTGTGTGATTTTGGATACTTTTAGGTTTATAATCTAGTCTTCATCACGAGAAGAGTAGAGAAAATACAGGGAGAGGAGGAGAGAGACAGTAAATCAGTGTTTGTATTATGAAAGACTCAGATTCATAGAACTCAGATTCATAGAACTGGATTGGAGAAGCATTGTGCGTTATATGCCATGGCAATAAAATGCTTTATAAGTTTGTAAAAGCAATACATTAAAATACCCTTAAAAAAAAAAAAAAAAAAAAAAAAAAAATATATATATATATATATATATATATATATATATATATATATATATATATATATATATAATTTTATTAGTATTTTTATTCAATGCTTTGAAAAATAAGTTAAATCTTTGTAGACTATAAATACATATGTACTATATATCATTTATTTAAATATGTGGGCAACATATTATAGATTCATTTTATTTAAAAATTATTATACTATTCTTATTTTTTAAATTCAACTATAGGGGTGCGGCCAGGTAGGGGGCCTTACAAGACAATGTGCCCAGGGGCCCCTGAGTTCTTAATCCGGGCCTGCAGTCAACACATCAGCATGAGTTTCTGCTCATGAAGTACTTTAAAGGGTCACGAAACACCAAAACACATTTTTTGAGATGTTGACAGTCACATACAGTTAGGTCCATAAATATTTGGACATCATCGACACAATTCTAACATTTCTGGCTCTATACATCAACACAATAGATTTATTTTTTTTATTTTAAATAAAACGAACATGATGTGCTTTAACTGCAGACTGTCAGCTTTAATTTGAGGGTATTTACATCCAAATCAAGTGAACGATGTAGACCAGGGTTTTTTAAACTGTGGGTCGCACAGTGAACAAAGGTGGGTCGTGCAACGTCACATAGCTGCAGGTATATTTACATTGCGGTAAATCAAAACCAGTACGATTGATGGCAATAACTCAAAAACCTCTTACCCTAAAAAGATCTAAAGTGTTTCACAGCAGTCTTTTTCTGTTTTTTCGCTCAACATTACGAGCACTGCTCCGTTTGAGCCCTCGCAATCTGCGTTTAGCCGGTAGAGCTCGCGCTGAGCGGAGCTTACAGTAAGGGACCATCGGAAAAGTGCTATTTTTTTTGTTTTTCGTTTTTTTGCTCCGTCCTGCATGTTTTATTTTAAACACTACTAATTTTCTCTTAAATGAGCACAAACAGTTACACAAGTAGTCGAATGCTTCATTATAGATCTGTGCATTCTTACATTAACACCACTGTTATCAAACAAAACACAATGAGAGATTCATTTGCTGTTCTTCACTAATTAACTACAGTATAGTAACTTTAATCAATATGAAAATACAATTAAAAGTGAAATAGATTTTATAGCTTTATTTAATTTATTTAATTATATTTAATTTCTGGATAGGCCATTGATTTTGATAGGCTGAACCTTTTATTTTATTGTCAATATTTTCTAATGCTTGCTATGTATTCTATCAATTGAAGCTATTTTTTTGTCCCATATTTTTTACATCCCAACGTTGACAGATTGCTAATCAATAAATAGCTACAGTGCTATCTGTTAGTTTTAACGTCAGCTAATGTTATGGAAGGGCATAGATGTTATGGAAAATAGTAATAGTAATGTAACTACCCCATCATATCTTTCCTCAAGCAAATGTGAAAATATTAGATCTATTCAGCAATAACGTTAACTGCATTGGCATATTTATCTGACGCTTTCCCAGCTTGTAGTATTCGATCAAAAAGCTATTTAGTTTCTTATGACTATCCACTAGCAGTGGAATTTACTGCGATGTGACGGGGCTTGATCATAATCAAGGGGCTTGATCAAAGGTTGATCATATTCTCTTCTGAAAAAAAAAAAAGAGTATCTTTTTCAACAAAAAAATGATCACATTTACAGCCAGCATCCCACAAAAAGCACTTCGAGCCTCATTGTGTGCATATCAAATCGCAAAATCCAAAAAGTCACACACCATATATTTTTTTACTGCCTTGAATGGATACATTTTTTACCCATTTTTCCATATTAAAATATTATGGTGGGTCTTGAGATTGAATTACTTGCCTAGGTGGGTCCTGGAATAAAAAAAAGTTTGGGAATCCCTGATGTAGACTACAGTTTGCATATGTATCAGAAGTCAAATCAGCACGCTCTGTTATGAATGAGGTGCAACTTTATTAACATGGCTTCGAAGACTGTTTTTACCTGTTACAGTGTTCAGATGGCAGAGAGATGCCACAATGTGATGCCAACCGTAATTAAAACAAGTAAAAGAAGAAGAATTGTTCAAAGACGTGTTGTCAGTGTCGCGGTCATTAATGTGCCACAATGAAGATTTTGTTTCCATTTCCCCACGATGAGAGAGAACACACATTTGTGGATTACAGTGGTCTGCTTACACGCGTCAAAAATACGTTTGCAAGGAAAAATCTTTACCCGTGTGCTCTTCGCATCTAGAAAAGGTGAAATCCGGATTTGCCCCTTGTCTCCTTTTAAATAAAGACACGGGTCTAGTTCGTGTTGATTATCCTTTCTACAAATTTGGTAAGTGTGCAAACAATGTGCAATGTTTATGTTCATTTAGATGGCAAAGTTATAGTTAGTATCGTCATTAGTACTCTTTCAGTTTTTAAAGACATACCTTAGTCTAAATGATTTAATTACTAAGTTACAGTACGTTCACCTCACTACAATATTACTGACTGCAAGATCCGTTGTAAATGCTGCTCTCCGAATGTAAACATGTAAACACATTAATCAAACAATAACTGACATGTAGAATTGTTGTTAGATTTCATTGTGAATGCAAGCGCAGGCGTGAAGATTGTGTTGGTTATAGGTGCTAAAATGTTCAGCAGGACCCCCTTAAAATAGATCTGTGTAAAACATATAATTAAAAAGGCAAATACATTGGTATTTATCTAATTTGGGAAGTGGTAAGTGATGAATACCTGAACTCAGGTTTCTAATTCTGTTTGGTAGAAGCATCTTGTCCGGTTGATCGTAGTGTGTGTGTTGTGTTTTTAGTCAACAAGGTCATATATATATATATATATATATATATATATATATATATATATATATATATATATATATATATATATATATATATATATATATATATATATATATATATATATATATATATGTTCAAATCTAACACAAATGTAGTGCGGGAGTGAAACAAACCTTGGAGTAATACATAAAAATCTGTCCTGCAGGTCTAGCTTTGCAGACAGTCTACCCACTTATGACATCTGCCTGGATTTTGGTTTTTGCTTTTCCTTGAAAGGTTCCAGCATAGGTCTACTTGGGTTAGGTGACCAAATAATTAGCATTTTATTCAATAAAGGCAGCTAACAGTTCACAAATAGCAGGTTAATTTCTAAAAATTGCAGTGGGGCACAAGAAAAGGTGTTTGGTTTTGAGGGCTGTGATTAAAAAAAAAAAATTCAAGACCACTGGCCTAATAGGCAGTATGTTGACATGAGCTCCACTGGACATCGCATATCCAAACTGTGTTTGTTATTTTTGGCTGAAAAAAAAGAAACATAGCATCCATCCTTACCTGCTGATAGGCAGTGGTGTACACCATCACGTTTTGTTGCTGTCCGTCAGCTGTTATGATCCCTGCAGGTAAGGGATTTGCTGAGAAAGAAAACATATAGTGTTTGATTGGTCGATTTAGGTTGAATTTATCATGATATAAATCCGTTTGCCAAGATAAAGCAATAAAGAGTAAACTTCTCCACTGACCCCTTTAATGCCCAACAACAGTTTATATATTATACACTACGCACAATAGGTTAGAGAAACTGTGATAGACTCAGTGAATGTGAAACATAAGGTGTTTGTTTCACTTCACACATTTTGGGAAATGGAGGCAACTGTATTGGGGTCATAGACACAACTCATTTTGTGTTTTCCATGTAATAGTCTCATTGTTTACAGGTGTGCCTTATAATGGGGTCAATACCAAAAGACAATCTTTTTCAATGTGGCATCAATTTCAACATTCTGTGGGTACAAAAATCTGGTATTGTCAGTAAGTCATTCTAAGATCATCATGGGTTAGGTTTTGAAAGAATTACAACAACTCCCCCCATCCTAGCGCTAGTCTAGGTAGGTTAGAAGTAGGGAGATTGAGGAGGCGTGCACTGGCCCACGCTTGTCTGACTATATACCATTAGAGCGCTGATCTTACCCCTCCTGTGTGGGAGGTTTAGCCTTGTTTGTGGGATTTGGGCTTAAGATTTGATGAGAGGAGGAAGTGTTTTTTGTGTGTTCCAATTGTTGGCTGTTGCACAATGTGCCAACGTCTTTGGGATGGTTTTGATGTGTTTGGATGCTGTAGGGATCAATGGTTGAGGTTTGGGATTCATTTCTCCTTTTGTTACTCCCTCAAGACCAGTTGTGAGAGGGAAATGTTTAAGACACTTCACCAGTAGTGTACCTCAGTTTCATCGGGTGTTTCGATTCTTTAAACACTAGAAACCCTCGTCTGAGGCGATCAGCACTAGTTGATCAATTCCAGGCGAGTGTCTTACTGCCAATTTGTGATGGGAAGTTGACCAGATCCTCAATCTGTTTGTTTTGGGTTCTGTTTTTTAGTCAGGGTTGTTAGGGGGTTTGTGCATGGTTTTTCCAAAGGCTTGGGGTTATGCCCTTTGATGACTTAGGGTTGGGTGTAGGGTTTGGTGTGGGTGAGGGTTGTCCCTTTAAACTGAGGTTAGGGTTAGGGTTTGAGTTAGGTGAGGGCTGTCGTTTTCCCAAACTTTTTACAAGAATTAGGGTTATGCCCTTTGGTTGGGTTTAGGGTTTGGTGTGGGTGAGGACTGTCCCTATCATGGGTTAGGGTTAGGGTCATGGCTCAAACAGCCATAAAAACACAATGTCACTCAACGTACGAGCAGCACCACTTGGCTAAGGTGCACCCTCAGGTCAGTTGCAGGTAGACAGATGTTGCTCGTGAACTTGGTGTGTCTCAAAGTGTCAACAGCAGACTTGCATCAAGACACAGAACTACTGGCAGAGTTCATGACATACCCAGGAGTGGAGCCCCACGAGTGACAGACCGCAACAATGAGCACCTAAGCACCTTTGCACTCAGACATCAATATGCATATGCCACACAGCTGCAGGTCCGTTTAAGAGATGTGAGGGGTACTAGGGTTTCCAGACAAACCATTTGCAACGACTCCACCACTTTGGCTTAAATGCCAGACAACCGTTGCAGGTGACTCCACTCACACCAAGACACCGACATGAATGTTCCAGTGAGCACAAGTCAGACTATGTGACCTGTGGTCTACAGTCCTGTTCACTGATGAGTGTCGAGTTACCTTGCACAGCAATGATTGTTGTCAGTGTTGCTGGAGAAGGCGAGGTGAGCCATTTGCTGAGGTCAACATGGTCCCCAGGGTTTGCTTTAGTGGAGGAGGTGCAAAAGTTTTGGCAGGCATCATCAGTCAGTGCAAAACAGATTAGGTTATTGTAGATGGCTCAGTCACTGCAAGTCCTTACCTCAGAGACATTATAGAACCCATCATCCCCAAATTCTGCAAGCACACCCCCAACTTTCTGTTCATGGATGATAATGATGCACCCCATTGTGGCAGAATTGTCACAGCTCAACTTCAGGAAGTTGGAGTGCCTCATATGGTATGGCCATCAATGTCCCCTGACCTGAACCCCATAGAGCAAGGCTGCGTCCGAAACCGCATACTTCCATAATATATAGTACCCTAAAATCAGTATGCGAGCCGAGTAGTATTTCCGAATTCATAGAATTCGAAAAACAGTATGCGAGAAGTACCCGGATGACTTACTACTTCTGGCGAGATTCCAAAGTGTGCATCCCATGCACACTGCGCTATCCCATGATGCCCCGAGAGCGAATTCATGAATGGGAGTAAAGCGACGCAAATGACGCAGGTACGTCACGTGACTATGTCAAAATAGTGGATGTAGTACGTCCGAATTCCATTCATACTTTTCACATTCATACTGTATAGAAAGTACTTTTCTAACAGCCGAGTAGTACGTTTAAATTCAAATGCAGTACCTACTGAGTAGTAGGCGGTTTCGGACGCATCCCAAGTCTGGGACCAGTTGAAGAAGATGCTGGATTATCGTACCCCACCCCCACGTGACCTGGCAAAACTGCGTGTAGCACTTGTGGAAGAGTGGAACGCATTGCCTCAGAACAACATCATGAGGCTAGCGAGGAGCATGAGACTTTGCTGGCAAGCTGTCATTGTGGCAAATGATGCTCGCTACTGACATTGTCAATTTTTGTTATTTGTGGCTATTCTTGTAATTGTCTAAATTTTTGGAGTAATAAATATTAAACTACTGAAAATGGTGTTTCTTCTCATATATTATTGGTAATATCAATGGAACCTTTTACTTATTTCATTTTAGAGCAAATAGGAAAAGCACTCATGTAAATAACAATATCCCTAAGGTAATTTGAGTAGTGTAATAGAGGCGGCCTGTTTGACTGATCAAGAATCTGTTCCATGCTGTTATCGGGAACTAGTGCACACTCTAAACCTATTAAATAGTTCTTATTTATTGAATATGAGTGAAATAAGATATAAATAACATTAGTTTAGTTTTCTTTTAATGAAGACTAGATATCCTAAAATACAACTCACTGTAAGTCTGTTTAAAAAAAAAGCACATAATTACAAAATTGTTAACATTTAAATACATCTAAATGGTCTCACTTTAAAATAAGGTTTTATTACTTTATGTATTTATTAACATTAACTGTTAATAAACGATACTTGTATTCAGGGCTTAACATTAACACCCGTCAACCCACCAAATGCGGGTAGATTTTAGCTTTGGCGGGTTAGACAGCCGCTCCCACTAGCCACTTTGGCTGGTTGAAAGTTGAGTTTTCTTAAAAGCAGGGTTCGACAATAATGATGACCCAATATGCGTGCAAATGTGATCTTAGAATCGAGAAACAGCACGACTAACAAAAATAATTGCTTTCGCGCGAGCAATAGAAAGCAGATGAATACTGAATGAGAGGATGATCAGTCGCGCAAACAGCTGATGTAATGCACGCGACTGTTTAAAGCGTGCGCGCTCCTGTTACCTTGCTTGAAGCAACCGTGCCTGTAACGCAACTATGACCGGTTCTCTTTCATATAGAACTGACAAAAAGTTATACTAATGCACCCACAGTCTTGCTGCTTTCAAGAGCTCAGCCTCCAAAAGTGTCTTTTTGTAAGCAGCACCGGTTGCTTTCGCTTTGAAGAGATTATTAATTGGCCTTAACCATGTGATCATGCTTTCATTATCACACAGTATGTTTTTCACCTGCTTTCTTTTGCTTACGGTTATTTTTGTTTATATAGTTTAATTATCATTTTTTTACAACAACATTGCTTTAATATGTGATTAACTCTCCATTAATGTGTAGTTAACTTTGAACAGAGAGACCTTTAGCGAAGACAGATTACTGTGCATAATTTTGATTCATGACAATAATAATCTTTTTTTTTTTTTAAAGTCAATTGTTTTTCTATATATATATATTTTTTTAATGTTTTGTTAAATAAAAAGTATAGTACACAGCTGTATTTAGCTTGTTTTGAGATTTAAAATTTGTAGCTAAGAAATAATTATTGTTTGGTGTGGTCAAAGATAAATTTGGTAAATCCTTAATTCTGAGTTCTAAAGTCATGTGAAATAAAAACTAATTGTAATACAACACTATGACACCATGGCCCATTTGCTCATACACGACACACAAATTGTGAAATGAATGAGGAGGCATGTGGACAAAACACAAAATCTAAAGTAATTTGAGCATGTCAAAGTCATGTTTATGCATGTAAAAAATATTTTCCCAACAACAAAATTGTGGCTAGTGAAAATGCAGAGTGGCTAGTAACGTTGGAAAACTACTAGCCACTGTGGCTGGTGATCAAAAAAGTTAATGTCAAGCCCTGCTTGTATTTATTAATCAGAGATTTAGTAATGTATTATTAAAATTAAAATTCATGCTTGACAACATTAGTTAACACACTGTGAGTGAACATGACAATGAACAACTTTATTTTCATTAACTAACATTGGCAAAGATATATTAATAAATGCACTGTTGGTTATTTGTTCATGTTAGTAAATACAATAACTAATACAACCTTACTTTAAAGTGTAACCATTAAAATAAACAATAAAAATCTAAAGAGCTAATCCAATAATAGAATACGTACATATACAGCATCTAGTATTCCAGTGTAATAATATCGTATGAAATATTACAATGATATTAAAATAAAATAAATAATAAATTATACATCTATATAAGTTCACAAGGTACTTACCGAAAGACTCGTCAGTCAGCTCATCTCCCATACCTTCAGTTACAGTTACAGTGCTTATGCCCTTCTCTCCTTTCATCGCCTGAGAACATAAACACAAATGAAACATAAATGAACCCTTGTCTGCTTTTGGCGAGGTTTTCATCCACTCCAAGTCTTAATTTGGCCCCAACCTTCTCTATGCTTTAGCAAATGGAACGATTTTTGTGATAAATCTTATTTTGACATTTATTTTGGGCAAATGCTTTAAAATTTTACAATAACTCGACAACATAGCAGATTTTTTACTCTTTCGTTAGTTGTTAGTGGCTGTTTTTGCCCCATTGACTTCCATCATAACAACATTTTTGATTGCAAAGTCATAACATCATCATGACATCAAATCATGCGTTCCTGATTAGAGCTGGTTTTCCCTGTTGGGAAGAGGTACAATTTGTCATTTGTATTGTTGATCATCACATGCATTAGGAAGAACACTTCTGGCCTTTAAAGGAAGTGCATTCATTTACTTTTCAGTTTAGTCTCTTTAATAATCAGTGGTCGCCACAGCGGAATAAACCATCAACTTATCCAGCATATGTTTTTATGCAGCGGATGCCCTTCCAGCTGCAACCCAGCACTGGGAAACTCCCATACACTCTTGCATTCACATACATACACTACGGCCAATTTAGCTAACCTAATTCACCTATAGCGCATGACTTCTGAATGTGGGGAAACTGGAGTGTTGGGGAATTCATTGTGTATGAATTTCTGATGAATGTATTACTCTCATTTATATGCCTATTTGAGGGATTTCCGTATTGTTTTTATTATTATTTATTAAAGCAGCGCAAATGTTTGTGCATGCTATGATATTTTCACGTATGTCTTACTGTGCAATAATCTGGGGTCAAGCAACCCAGTCAGTTGTTAAGCCTGTAATGTCTCTTTACAAACAAACTTTAAAAGTAATGGATCAGAAACCAATAAGATGGCACTATTGTCAAATTCTTAAAAAATATCATTTGTTAAGTTTTGATAGTATTTTAAAGTTTTCGTTTTTAAAAAACATGTTTAAGTGTAGACATGGTCTTGCTCCTAAAGTAGTTTGTGAGTTAATAAATAAACTCAGTAGTGATAGGGCGAAGACTAGAGGGGCAGTAAGTGGGAATTGTAGAATCCGCAGATGCAGAACCGCTGTGGGTCAGTCATCCTTTTCAGTTAAAGGTTCACATCTATGGAATGCCATGCCTGTTCATTAAAAGTTACAACCAGAACTTCCAGTTTTTTCTGTAAAGCTAAAAGAATGGTTGAAATCTTTACAGCAATGTGAACATTAAGCATTATTCTTTCAGGTTGGTCCTATTTACATTTCTCTTTATCCATATGGACTTGCATCTTATGTTTATGGCTCTGTAAATATTGTACATGTTTGCTGTATTGTGTTTTGTTCTAGCCGGTTTTCTTTATTATTATTTTTTATTTTTTATTTTATTTATTTATTTTTTTTTAATGTAAAGCCTAACCAGGGACGAGGGCTGCAAATTAGCTTTATGCTATATGCCCTATGTACACAACATCGGTTATCTTTGTATAACAATGTCAAGTGTATTGTCCCTGTAAAATAAACAAGCAAATAAAAAAAATATTATAATCTATTGTATTGTTAACAATACCGGTGGCATTATTATCAGGTATGTGTGTTTTGGTATATAAAAAAGGCATTTTGTGTAAATGTAGTCAGAGATGAGAAGATAAATTAGAAGAGCAGCATTAATGTCACAATGAGGGTAGATTTATGAATGCAACCATAAGGACACCTGTGTTCTGTTCTGTAACTCATGATAAGGCAGACCTGCACATGCACGCACACGCATTTGTAATGACTTCTAAAAAAATATGAGTACCCATGAACTTCAGCTGAACTTACAGTTGACAGCTCAGTGTACAGTGAACAAGATATATTGCTGAGCATTGTTTTTTGGCTAAGTCATCGCTTTTGAAACAGGAAGGAAAGACCTTAACTGGACATGGGTAAGACCCCTGAAAGACCCTGAGACTTTATTGGTGGCAGGCACCTGAGAGATTTAAGATCCCATAAGCGGAGAAGCTGATGGAAGTTCGGCAGACACTCGAACGACCTGTCTCTGTTGCTGATGCTATAACAATAAACTGCTTTGCCTCAAGACTTCGGACATCTCAGACTTTGTCATTTTTGGAAAAGTTTGACTTAGAGAATATTTTGCAGACCAGAATCTTTTTTCCACAACAGGAGCACCTGAAGGAAACCTACACAAACATGGGGAGAACACGGAAATACCAACTGGCTCAGCCAGGGCTCGAAACAGGAACCTGCTGTGAGATGACAACGTTACCCACTCCCGCACCGTGTCACCCCTTTACATGGAGTTATTTGCAGTATAGTGTGTGTGTGAACTTGCAAACTTTGGGCTCTATTTTGACGGTCCATGCGCAAAGTGCAAAGTGCAAACACATTCAGGGCATGTCAGAATCCACTTTTGCTAATATAAGGATGGAAAAATACGCTTTGCGCCATGGCGCATGGTCTAAAAGAATTGAGTTTATTTCTTAATGAGATATAAGAGTATTTTGAGAATAAACCAATCAGAGTCTCATCTCCCATTCACTTTAAGAGTCAGTTGCGTCGCGCCATGGTGCATTTGCTATTTACATGACGTAAAGTAAGTGAAAGTAGAAAAACTGAACATTTCACTAGCAAGAAAACAGTTGAATAGAGCATCTACAGCGCGAGAATGAGAGATAAATTATTAACTTTCACTTTCACTCTCGTGGATAGGGAAACCTTGTACGCACAGACATCAATTAGCCTATAAATGATTAATTTAGTTTGTTAAGCGCAAATATTTGTTTCAAAACTATTTCTAAAATTAGTTCTAATTTCCAGCAAATGAATAAATGAACAATAATAATGAAGAGTGTTCAAAAAACTGAGTTATAGCCAAATACACATGCTGTGCTCCATATGGTCTGAAACCTGACAGGTGGACAAATCTAAGCTTGTTTTTAATAAAAAAAATATATAAATATGGATATAATAAATAATACTGCTAATAATAATAACATTATACAAAAGCTAATTGTTATGAATGAACTGAAAAAGCCTCCCGAGAGAAGTCATGAAGGCAGTGGTTTTTATATTTATGTAGGCTAGAAAATATATGTTTTGTAATATTTTAATACTTTATATTTATATCCTATATATATATATCCTTAATATTTTAATTATTTTTCATATGTGAAGATATTTGCGTATTGCTCTATATCTTGCGTGTACTAAGCAGTGTGTAAGCGAGGCGCACAACTAACCCGCTCTGCCAATTAATGTCTTAACGCTGCATACAGCTACAACTGAGTCGACACCTGTCATCAGAATCACCTTGATCTAGAAACATTATGGTCTCTGACCGAGATCAGATGGTCAGACCACTATATTGTAGTACAGAACAGGAAGCGGATACCTTGAGGCTACCAGCCTTGTGACAAGTTCATCATCAGTTAAGTGTCATTCATTAGACCCCCTATCTTCATAAAGTTAATTTAAGACAAATGGGTAACTGATCATGAAAATTCTTTTCTTAACAAAGAGCTTGTGTTTGACCAGAGGAAATGGGGTTTTTAACCCCCACACAAGACAGAGGACTGACAGACTTTGGTCCTAAACAGAGAACTAAAATCCTCTCTAAAATGTATAAACTGTCACAAAACATTAAGGCCCCATCCCAATTCTATTTTTTACCCCTACCAATTCCCCTTGGCCCTTGAAACAGAGCCTGAAGGGTCATTAAACTTTGTGTGTTTGTGTGTCATTGATGCTTTTCCAGCGAGTATTCAGTTACATGAGCAGATTACTGACTTATTTTGACCTTTGACCGAGGTGTGCTCACTAGACATGGGACGATAACCGGTTTCAAGGTTCACTGTGGTTTGAAAAAGTCACAGTTTTAAAACTGCTAGTTATTTGTTAAACCGTTCCTGTGGTATATGTTAGTTTTTTTTTAAACATGTTGTCAAAAACAATTTTATTTATTTTTTAGGGCAACAGTATCTACAGCAGCAAAAGACCATCCACATCAAAAGCTACAGGTCAGCCCACGATTCAACAAACGTTTGACAAAAGAAAAAAAAGCTTTTACAGGGCTCAACAATAAGGACTGCCAGGTGGCCCAGGGCCAGTGTGAGAGATGCTTGGGACAGTAGACAGGATCATTACTGGCCCGATTGGGACAGTACTGCCTTGTCACTAACATTTAATTTATCTGCAACTATTTGTCAATTGCGTGCATTTTAAGTTTGTGCTTTTAAATCTTTAAACACTACCTTGTCTTTGATGTCGTAAACACCATATTGCTTTAAGGTTCCTCTTATCTGATTTGGTGTTTTGAGCATGCAATTTTTTTCCATAACCTGGTAACAACCAGTACAGAGAAGAAACAGCAGCATGGCGGCAACATCAAAATATAAGGCTAAAAGAAAATGTCTGTTTCTAATGTCTTGGAAGCAGACATTTACATGTGAACAACGTGACAAAAAAATTGAAGTGATGTTTTGCACAGTTTGCCGTCAGTTTGACAAGTCAGCCCACCTTTTGTTAAATAATTTCGAACTGTAATATAATACCTCCACATTTTCCATACTGCTCTTTTTGTTTGCATAACACTTTAATAAAATTTTTTTTAAGCATTAAAATTGTAGATTCACAAACTTTATTTTTGACACATTATTTAAAATATGCGGCTAAAATATAGCTATTAACTTCCCTTTTTTTTGGTGGGGCCAATGAAAATTTTGGCAGTGCAAGTAAAAATCTGAACCACTGGCCCGATCAGACCAGTACAAAAAATCCTTAGCGTTGAACCCTGTTTTAAATCAACAACCAAGCATGTTATGGACCTGAACAGTATAAAGAAAGGTATCCAAAGATGCCTTCCACAGTGTTAAGAAATCAGTGATTTTTAAACTAATAGAGACAGCAGAAGTGAATGATTTATTTTCACTGTTTATCCTGTGCTGTATATTCATTTCCTTTGGCTTAGTCCCTTTATTTATCAGGGGTCCTCACAGCGGAATGAACCTCCAACTCATCCAGCATAGGTTTACGCAGCGGACGCCTTTCCACCCAGCACTGAGAAACAGCCATACACTCTCTCATTCACACACATACACTATGGCCAATTTTAGCTTATTTAATTCACCTACAGTTCATGTCTTTGTACTGTACCCGGAGGAAACCCATGCAAAAATGAAGAGAACATGCAAACTCCACACAGAAATGCCAACTGCCCCAGCCGGGGCTTGAACCAGCAACCTTCTTGCTGTGAGGCGACAGTGCTAACCCCTGAGCAACCATGCCGCCCCTTGTTGTATAATATCAAGAAAATGTAATTCGCTTGCCTCTTTATTTATATTAGTTGATTTTATACATGACCTATGGTCATGGGCTTTGGATCATGACCGAAAGGACAAGATCTCAGATACAAGCGGCCGAAATGAGTTACCTTCGAAGGGTGGCAGGGCGCACTCTTATGGATAGGGTGAGGAACTCTGACACCCGGGAGGAGCTCGGAGTAGAGTCGCTGCTCCTCCACATTGAGAGAAGTCAGCTGAGGTGGCTCAAGCATCTGTTTCGGATGCTTCCTGGATGCCTACCTAGGGAGGTGTTCAAGGCATGTCCCCGGGAGGCGGCCTCGGGGAAGACCCAGGACACGCTGGAGGGACTATGTCTTTAGGCTGGCCTGGAAACGCCTTGGGATTCCCCCAGAGGAGCTGGAGTAAGTGTCTGGGGATAGAGAAGTCTGGGGTTCTCTCCTAAGACTGCTGCCCCCGCGACCCGGCCCCGGAAAAGCGGCAGAAGATGAATGAATGAATGGATTTTACACATATTTGGAAAGTGTAATTATTTGAATATGTTGCCTTTGTTTGTAGGAAATGTGCTGTGATGTATGTATAACTTTAAGCAGACTCAACTTACTTTAACCTGAGTGTAAGGTGAAGGAGGGGTATCCAGATGATGATTGTTAATGAAGATAAGATTATTAATAAAGTTGAATGCGTTTAAGGTTTAGATTATATGATGGCCATGGTGCCATCCCTCTTTACAGTAAAACTGGAATGATATGCGTGCCATTGCTTTTTCTGTATGCCAAGTTTTTGATTTCCTCAGGATCTTTAGGCCCATTTAATAGGTCACTAAAACCTCTCATGTAAAACTGGATGTTTGAAGCTACTTGAAGAGCTGCCACTGGATTTTACTGTGTGTTAAAGAATTTGTTATTTTAAGATTCTATTGCATGAAAGAGACATTTTCTATGCTTAGTTGACAGTGGGAAGATGTTTATTGTACCATTCTGATAAGATGTCTGCTAGAGAGCAAGAAATCCTTGAAGTTGATAAGTATTCTTTGTGTATGTGTGTGTGTGTTCTTCATCAGATGAAACTAGAAGGCTGGAGCTGAATTTCAAATTGCAAACAACAATTGCGTCGCGCCTTGCACCACATTGCACCGTGTGTATGATAGGGCCCAAGGTCTCAAGCTGGAAATGGAAATTATGGAATTTTTTTCATTGGTAGATCTTGCCTTACAGCAAGGCCAAGGTTAGGGATCTTGAATGGTTGGGGACCATTGCTCTAGAACACGGGTCACCAATCTTGCTCCTGGAGGGCTGGTGTCCCTGCAGGGTTTAGCTCTAACTTGCCTCAACACACCTGCCTGGGTGTTTCAAGTTTACCTAATAAGACCTTGATTAGTTTGTTCAGGTGTGTTTGATTAGGGTTGGAGCTAAAATCTGCAGGACACCGGCCCTCCAGGAACAAGTTTGGTGATCCCTGCTTTAGAAGGTTGCAAAGTAGGAATCACTGGTCTCTTTATCAACTATGGTTTAATTTTGAAGCTGCTAGATGACAAAGACAGTGCTGTTTTAAAAACGCCCAAATAGTTCAGTTATTTAGTAAAAGAAATGTAACAAATCTTTAAGCTTTACTTTTCTGTTTTATTGATTGTATTTAATAAGCAATAAAAATCACTGTGGGCCAGTTTGCGATGGCTATAATCTACTACCAGAGCATAGTATGGCCCCAGATTGTTTTATTTTTTTGCTTAGTGCCCTTAAATCTACAGGGCCTGCCCTGATAGATATTTTTCAAAACACTATTTTTAAGCTTAAAGTGTAATTTAAAGACTTAACAAGGTTAATTAGGCAAGTTAGTGTAATTAGGCAAATCATTGTATAATGATGATTTGTTCTGTACACAATCGAAATTAAATATTGCTTAAGGGGGCTAAAAATGTTGAGCTTAAAGGGTCACGAAACACCAAAACACATTTTTTGAGCTGTTGACAGTCGTATATGTGTCTTACACTGCTAAAAACACTATTAGGACACCTATATTTCACTAAAAAGTGTAAATTGGTTGTTTTTGCGTTATTTCAAGCAAATTCGTACTTCCTGTTTGAAACGAATTTTTGAAGCTGCGTCACGGTCATGACATAATAGCGTTGTATTCCAGCGTGCAGACTGGGCGTCTGTGCCAGAGTGAGTCTTATTACGTCTTACAGTGTGTTGCATTAATGCATGAGTAAGGCTTGGTTCAAACCAATCAGCGCGCTCTATTGTGCAACTTCATTAATATTCATTACTGTCACAGCGTTTACGCCACAGAAACGCCATGTTGTGTTGGCAAAACAAGCGTGAAGTGTTGCTTTTATAGTTTGCTGCCATTAAGTTTCGTTTTCATTTTCTCTCTGTGAGAGCTCAGCTGGAGTCACTTGTGGATTAACAGTGTACGCGACGCTCGACAACAATAACTTACGTGTCTAAGGAGGATTATTGTTTACCTGAGAGCTGTTCTCATCTGCAAACGCTGAAATCCGGATTCGCTTGTAACGTTAGTCTCCTCTTCATAAAGACGCGGCTCTAGTTGCTGGTGATTGTCCTGTCTCTACAGATTTGGTAAGTAAGCGTCCAGTGCTCTTTGTTTATTCAGTTTGTTCGTATCGAATTAAGTTAACTATTGCACTGAGTGCAAACATAGCACCGCATTTTGTGACCGGAATAACACACGCGGCTTTCTGACGCTACCTGCCGTGTGCATCTAAGTTTCCGGAAAATTCTGAGTTTTTTTTCTCTCATTCGCTGTGCGGTATCAAACATTGCATGAAAAATACACGCTTAGAGCAGATCCTCGAATCAAATATCGCGTTTGTCGCGAGGGGCATGAATGAATTCCCTGAATGAAAGAGCCAAACTGCAGTTAAAGTCCAACATTTAATAATTTGGCAAATAATTCGACTACAGATGTCCATGTAGGTTAAACACCATCACTTTCTCATGTGTGTGTATTTTGACTGAAACTCGCGCGTGCCCAAATAGACACTCCCACACCCTCCCACTTTAGTTCCTCCGACACTCCCCCCTAAACAGAGCTGGACACGCCCACTTTTCTGACTTTTTCCAAAGTAGAGGTGTGAAAACACCCTGCTGAAACGAGGGGGTTTCATGGCCCTTTAAAATGATTTTAAAAAAATTTAAAACTGCTTTTATTCTAGCTGAAATAATACAAATAAGACTTTCTACAGAGGAAATAATATTATAGGAAATACTGTGAAAAATTCCTTGCTCAGTCAAACATCTTTAGGAAATAAAAAAATGGGAAGGCTAATAATGGTGACTTCAACTGTATCTGACCCTTCAAGTTGTCATAGGTGGTTTAGTACTCCTTTTCACTCTTTCGATCACAGAACTTTTTGCGGAATGTTGTGATGATGCAACTAAAAATGTTACTTACCTCTCTGAACTTCTGCAGGTAGAGCTTCAGCGGCTCCACATACATGTCAAAACCCAGCGTGGACATTGCAAACAGGATGTCTTCGCCATTTATTGTCTTGCGTTTCTCCTGATGGCACCTCTCGCTGGCTTCTGAAGTGATGAAGCTGATGAATTCGCTCACACACTCCTGCACGCACTCCTTTGCATCCTTTGCTATCTAGTAGGAAGGAGAGAAATTTCATTCTTTTGAATAATATGAATGTGCAATAGTATCTGGATGCAGCCTTTATGATGCAAGCTGAGACTGCATCACTCAGCGATGCAATGTCAGACACAATGCACTCAAATGGAGCTAGTGACGTCACTGTGATGGGTAGGGTTAGGGGTGGGGTTATGTGAGCCCATTAAAAAGTATTGGATGCAGCCCAGATTGCACTGCACCAGGTCTGCAGACCTTTCTCTGAATGTGCCAAATTTGACCTCATGTCAACTTTAAAGGGATAGTTCATGCAAAAATGAAGTCATCATTCATTCATTTGTTTTAAATGTGTGCAATTTTCGTCCTTCACTGCAAAAAATTGCAGGGTTTCACAAAATTCCTTCATGCCATCTCAAGCTATCTTAAATTTAAGTGAATTAAAACAAGTAGGTTGTCCCCCCCCCCAAAAAATCTTAAGAATTGTGTTGTTTAAGCTTATTTTTAAAGAAGCATTTTGAACAAGCAGCAAATTATTTTTTTTTGAGTGCTCAGGTTAATCAAAAAGAAAATATTTTAAAGTGTGTTGGCAACTGAGCAGTTGATATTACTATAGTCCCATAGTATTTTGCTCCTACCATGGAAGACAAATGTTATCTATTTGGCTACCGACATTCTTTAAAATATCTTTTTGATCGTAAAACTAAAGAAAGAATCTTATTTAGGTTTGTAACAAGTGGAGCTTGAGTTAAGTTTCATTTTGCAGTAAACTGTTTATCTGATGTATTACTTTCATTTAGCAATAAAACAGAAAAGAATAAACACATTTGAACAAATGTGTACTGAATGGTGGGCAAAAAGGGTATCTTTTTAATACATGGAAAAAAGTGCAAGCTAGTTTTCCTTCTCTACATTTACATTTACATTTAGTCATTTAGCAGACGCTTTTATCCAAAGCAACTTACAAATGAGAACAATAAAAACAATTTACACAACTATAAGAGCAACAATGAATAAGTGCTGTAGGCAAGTTTCAGGTATGTAAAGTGTAAGACATTAGGAATTTTTTTTTGTAGTACTCTAATCCAATTTTCATTGAAAATGACATACTTTTCCAGTTTGTGGGATTGCATTCTTCATTATTCTGGCAACGTTGGCGATGGGGAGATAGATGTCTTGCTCCCGTAGGTTATCCTTGCTTCCATTACCATCTTCATGATCATTGAGCCCATCATCACCTTCGTCTTCACATAAAGCATACGAACAAAACATTACAATACAAAATAATTAATATCTAAAGCAATAAACAGATTATTTAAACAAAATTAATTAAAACAGTTCAAATTTGACAAATACATCTAACTAAAAATCTAACAAATACATATTTTATATTACACTGAATATACTTATTTAATATACAGTTGAATTCAGAATTATTAGCCCCCCTGTTAATTTTTTTTCCCCAATTTCTGTTTTTTCAACACATTTCTAAACATAATAGTTTTAATAACTCATTTCTAATAACTGATTTATTTTATCTTTGGCATGATGACAGTCAATAATATTTGACTAGATATTTTGGAAGACAGCTATACAGCTTAAAGTCACATTTAAAGGCTTAACTAGGTTAATTAGGTTAACTAGGCAGGTTAGGGTAATTAGGCAAGTTATTGTATAACGATGGCTTGTTTAGTAGACTATTGAAAAAGTATATAGCTTAAAGGGGATAATAATTTTGTCCTTAAAATGGTGCGTAAAAAAATTAAAGCTGCTTTTATTCTAGCCGAAATAAAACAAATAAGACTTTCTCCAGAAGAAAAAATATTATCAGACATACTGTGAAAATTACCTTGCTCTGTTAAACTTCATTTGGGAAATATTTTTTAAAAAAAGGGAAAAAATTCAAAGGGGGTATAATAATTCTGACTTCAACAGTATATATTTTATTAATTAATTATTTATTTAAAAAACAAAATTATTGCCAGATAAATCATTTGGAATAATTTAAATATCCTTTCACCTACCATCCTGAGCATGTAGAACAAAATGGCTACTCGCCATATATTCTCCTGTCATGCCAAGTTGGGAGGCATCTGTGGTTGAACTCTCTCCGTCCATCTGAAACAATAACATAACAGCATTACAGCTAAATAATTTTCACGGGGTCTTAAATCCAAGAAAGCTGCCTACTGAGACAGCATTTTTTAATGATCGCAGAGCATTTGTATCTATAAACCTATGGAAGTTTTGAGACAGTTATAATGCATGAAAAAAAATTAAAGACATTAATATGAGTACCTGTTTTATTCTTCAATTAACACACATACAGTGCTCAGCATATATAAGTACACTGCTCACAAATCTATATTTTAATGTTATATTTTCATAGGAAGCTATACAATATTATATTTGTGTATGTACTTTAGTCAGTACCGAAGCCAAATCTGGAGCTTATCTAACAAAATAACTTAAGATAACGGTCCAAAAACTAGCATACCCAAATTTATGTTATAGAAAAATATTAAATACAAATTTAAAAAAAGAGGAAAAATCAAGAGAAGCAAAAACATTGAAAAATTTAGTTGAAATTTTGTAGGTTGTAATAATTTCTTGAATATTTTGTTTGGTGACTAAAATAATATTTTAATAAATATATCTGCTTAATAAATCTGTTTTGTTTAAATGCACCAAAAGTATATATAGCCTATATTTACTGAGAAATGGATACATATATTCATTTTCCAAATGGGGTGTACTCTATATACTAAATTGTATATAGATATGACCATGTTTTGTAGGGGATATTTTAATAATTTTAGCAATTCTTCTGTCTTGTGAACTATATAAAAATCTTATGCATGACATTTCTTACTTAAGACAGTGCTAAACAGTAATATGCATTTTGTAGGATCTCTTCCATTTTCTCAAAATAATTCACATTTTCACAAATTATGCAAAACTTAAGACAAAGGTCCTAAATTGATGTCCAAATTTATTTGTTAGGGGAAAAAATCATATATAAAAAAATATATACAGAATTTAGTAGTTTTTGTTGTTGTTGCAATATCTCATTTGAATTTAAATGTATTATCTGTTTAATAAATATGTGTTGTTCAAAAAAACTAAAATGTTACCTATATTAACTAAGAAATTAATAAAAATATACATTTTCAAAATGGGGCGTACTCATTTAGTATGCTGAGCACTGTAACGTTAACTGTTAAATGTCAAAATTAAGTGTTGACTAAATTCATCATTTAATAATAACTTAGGCAAACTAAAATATACCAGGGCATATTATTTCATATTCTGACAGTGCAATAGTATCTGAATGACAGTGACACTAAGTTAGATCGCATTGCTGTATTTTATTGGCTAATGTAAACATCTCACCGGCGCTAGCAATGGTTATTAATCATATACGTGTTTATTTATCAGAATACACATTTTCCTCAGATAAACTTCTGCAAACAGCTATTATAACTGACGGATGTGTTAACAGCAGAAGAGGGCAGCTGTTTGGACAAAGTCAAAGCAAACGTAAATCCGTCGTAGTAAACAAAGGGGCCGAGCACCATGACGAGCTTTTTACACTTATTCCCACAACGACAAGCTGTTTTTCATACCGCGCGCTTGATTCCTCATTCTCTCCGCCAACTAATAATAAAACCCTCGCGCGCGGAGATTTCCATTCGATGTAACGAAATATGGGTTAGCAATCATTGGCCGGAGCCGCACACTAACCTGCGATGAAGCCCTGGTTGGTTCTCGCCTCAGCTCGGCCGTTTGGTTGGACAGAAAATGGCTGCGGGAGAGCCAGTCCCTGCGCAGGGTTGAGCAGGGCTCGAGGAGGAGCCTCAGCCGGACACCAGATGGCGCTATAGACCTGTTCAAACACCATGCTTTCAAATGGCGCTCCTTGTTAGTAGTGTGCTAAGCATAAATACACCCCTCACAAATCTCGCTTTTAAAGATGGATGCTTTATATTAATATATGTGCAGGGCTGGACTGGGACAAAAAAAAAATCGGCCCTGGCATTTTGGAACAGAGCGGCCAACTACACTCCCTTGAATATGTTTACCAACCCACTCTATAAAAGCACAAAAGCCATATATTGGAAATAATGAGATTTGACAAATTAAAAACTTTAAAAATGTAATTTATTATTATAATGAAATTATAGTTCACACTGGAATTCCATCTTGTGTGTGCCTGTGGGTTTTGAGGGAGCCTATATTGAATAATGAACATAACAAAAACTGCTGACGCACACATGTTGATTACCAAAATAAAGATAAATAATAATGTTTCAGAGACCCTTAACAAATGTTTAACACAACAATGAAACATTAAACATAGTTTAAAGATTGTACATAGTCAATCCAATGAAACAATTAAAAATGCAACACATATTTGTTTGAGCAAGAACTACAAAACTAAATGTAAAAATTACTTTTGCTTAGTTTGCACACTAGTTTGGTCATGTATAAATATCCTTATAACCATATTGTATAAATATTATTGTATCTATATGTGCTTATACATTGGGTTCGTCGGCATTAAAACCAAAACTGGAACTATTTAAACAAAAAAATTGTTGCAATAACTCATTTGAAATTAAATATATTATCATTATTAAACATTATCGGTGATCAAACTTTTATTTTATGATTATCTGTATAATAAAACGGGTTTAAAAGTATGAAACGTATGCCGATCGAAACGTATGACGAAGTTAAATAGTAAAAATATAATAAAAAAACGGGCACAATATTTTTTTTATTTATTTAGGTATATAGGCCGTTTAATTTTATACACCTAATAATTATTAGGATATTTTATGTATTTAATACTATTAAACAAAACTGCACTGTACAAACATACAGCCAGCGCTGCTCTACCGCTGATATCAATTGTGTACATTTAAATGACCCTCGTCATTCTGTCACCATGGCAACTTGAGTTGTTTTAAAAATCCACACAACTATTATCAATCATTGCGTTACAAAACTCTAAACAGTTCTCCTGTTGGCCAAGTTTCATCAGTTCGTCTACTTTGGCAATCTGTTTTAAAGTTGTTCATGATGAAGCTGCAGAGCTCAAGAAGGACCAGGACTCTCCCTGCACATCTTAAGGACTTCTTGCTGGACCGTGTCTCTTCCAGTGAGGCGGCCAGGCCGGACACAAACAGCTGCATCATGGCAGACACACCTCTGGAGGAGCGCCACCTGAGGAACGCGGCTGTGCTTCCTGCCCTCCTTCCCGCAGCCTCAGCCTCCTCAGTGGGTGAGTGTCCACAAGAGGAGCCGCTCTCCATCCACGGCCGGAGTGTGCAGGAATACCAGCACATCTACAACAGTGTGATGATGGACTCCGCTATGAAGGCGCGCCGTGGCCGCTACAAACTTCAGAGGGGGCTGAAGATAAAGCAGCGGCTGTGGGAGAAGCTGGACCGGCCTGCACTGCTGGAGACCGAGCTGCCTGATGGACGAGTGGTCATCACGGAGAGCAGGTCCAGCTCCAGCGTCGCTCCTCGTATCAAGAACATCAGCAAAGAGCCGCTGCCCAGGGAGCCCCGAAGAAAGAAGGCCAGGCACTGAGCCATCCTATGGTGCCTGATGGAAGATCATGGGCACGTATGTACATACTGTATATATTGTACATATAGAATAAGTTTGCATTACATTCACACATCACAAGTTTTCATCACATATCTGCATGTTTTGGTGATTGTCAGTGCTGTTGCTCTCGGGTCGTTGGGCTCTTTTGGATGGTTTGTTGTTGGTTGACATGCATTAAGCAAGGTTTTCTAGGTGGTTTCTTGCGTGTTGCTGGTCTCCTCTGAGTGGTTTTTGGCACATTAGTGGTTGTTAGGGTTGTTAGTGTTGGCTGTTTGTGTTAGGGTAGGTTAGGGTCCCTCACACGGTTTGCAGCTTGACGTGCTGTGAGGGCTTGTGTGCATCAGTGATGCTGAGAGCTACGCCACTGGTACTTCACAGCTACCGGTAGGGTCACCCATAGTGGACAGGTCTCAGCTGAGATGCCCGACCAAGACAAACCACCTGATTCTGGACAGCATGAGATTGGCCTAATGCTCCAGACAGAAGACGTCACTGAATGACCAGAAGAATTTAAATGACTGCTTATGTGGAGTTTCAGATGGACCAGGGCAAACTACTATTAGATCTTCTCTGCAATATATATATATATATACCACACACACACACACACACACACACACACACACACACACACACACACACACACACACACACACACAAAACAATAAGTTTAGAATTACATATATACTATAATATAATATTACATTAATTAAAAAAAATATATATATATATATATATATATATATATATATATAATTAAAAATAAGATTTCAGTTTATTATTGTGTTAAATGTGAAAATAAGTTAGCAAGTAAACATTTACAAAAATAATCTATAATACAAAGAAATTCAGATTTAAATGGCACAGAAAATTATGACAAAATTATTTTGTGAGTGTGACATCCTTTTATTTCAAAGAATCAAGTTTATTGTACTTTATTGCATTTTACTAATGCAAGTATGATTTTCCAAAATGAAAATTATCTTTAAAGTAAGAATCTAAAACTTCCAGTAGGCAGTAGTGTAAAGTAACTAATTACAAATACTCAAATTACTGTAACTGAGTAGTTTTTATCAGGAATTGTAATTTACCAAATAGTTTTTAAAATGTGTACTTTTACTTTCCCTTGAGTACATTTTTAGTGCTGTATCTGTAATTTTACTACAAACTACTATCTGGACTGTTTAAAACATGAATTAATTCAGAAAGACACACAAAAGATCTTGGTTGTGGCTTTTAGCGTAATGTTTAATTCTTACTACTTTTTTCATTGTTAAATTAAAAAAAGTTGTAAATTTGACTTAATTTATGACGTATGATGTATTCTCAAATCTCTTAGTGGCCATGAGCAAAAATCTGACTTCAGAGTTTTAATTTAAGAATTATTATTGACCTAGATATTACTATTACTTTATTGCTACTACTAGTCAAGGGCGAGGCCAGAAATTTTAAAATAAGGGGACCTTGGTGAACTAAGGTTGGACCTCATTGCCTACTCTTAAACTTAGTGTATAATAACTAGTTTCTTATATCTATGATCTCTGATAATTTAGTAATTGATTTAATGAGTGACATTTTAGAGTATCCAATCCCTATTTTTTTTTATGAATGAGCAATTTCATGCAAATGTCAACCTTGCCATGAAAAATAATTAAGTTTTCACCAAAATAGAGAAACTGTTTCTAAATTTTTTGTGTTAGCAAGTATTTTACAGTACTTTAAAAATATTAAAAGATTTATCTGTCAGTGTTTCAAACTATTATATTTAATTTGCCAAAATCACAAGTGGCAATTACACAGCTGTCACATCCATAACGGAAAAGTGTAACATCCATAACAACACTTTTTCCTCATAAATGCAAAAATGTCAAATAAAATAAAAATCAATAATTTTTAATCCTATAGTAAGCCGACTCATATCTGTTTAATTAGCATTGTTTCTTTTGGGTTGTGCAGTTTAACTGACAGAATTTCTACAAAGTCTGTTGTGGACTGTAATTCGCAAACTTTTTTGTCACATCCGTAACGCATGTCTATTTTTCTATTTAAAAAAAAATGTTTACAAATTTATATTTTTCTGATCCCATAACTCTGTGGTTAGTTGTTTTGGAAAATATAAACAGATTTTTCAATATAATGTTAACGTATACTTTCTATATGAATATATGTTTTGAGTTTTTACTGCAAATGTCACATCCATAACACTGGAATTGCCCACATAAATAAATTGCAAAAATGTGCAGAGAATTCAGTTCAATTCAATTCACCTTTATTTGGATAGCGCTTTTACAATGTAGATTGTGTCAAAGCAGCTTTATATAAAAGATCATAATAAATTGAAACAGTGTGGTTCAGTTTTCAGAGTTTAAGTTCAGTTCAGTTTAGCTCAGTACAGTGTGGTTTAATAATCACTACTGAGAGTCCAAACACTGAAGAGCAAATCCATCGATGCGCAGCTCTACAGACCCCGAACTATGCAAGCTAGTGGCGACAGCGGCGAGAAAAAAAACTTCACCAATTGGCGAAAGTGAAGAATTAAAAAACCTTGTGAGAAACCAGGCTCAGTTGGGCACGACCATTTCTCCACTGGCCAAACATCTTGTGCAGAGCTGCAGTCTAGGCACCGGAGGCTGGAAGCTGGACCTCAGCGAAGATTCGTCTGTCCCTGGAGTGTCACAGGAATCAGTCTAATGCTCGCACTCCTCCATGACCATCCCAATAGCTGGATACGGCCTGGACCAGGATATGGAAACCTTGGGATAATCTCGTCGCTGGTCTTGGATCGAATCAGTGGCGCTGCATAGTCTGAGGGCCTAGTATCCCTTGGTGGAAATAGAGAATAAAGAAAATAATTAGCGTAGCTGCTGTTCTTAGTGTATAAACGAGCTGCAGAAACCTGTGTGGAGCACATATCATACCGCTAAGTAATGCCCTGAGTGTATGCTTTACTAAAAAGATAGGTCTTTAATCTAGTTTTGAATTGGGAGAGTATGTCTGAGCCTCGGACATTATCATGAAGGCTATTCCAGAGTTTGGGAGCCATAAATGAGAAGACTCGACTTCCTTTACTGGACTTTGCTATTCTAGGTACTACTAGAAGCCCTGAGTATTGAGATCTTAAAGAGCGAGTTGGATTGTAGCGAGACAGAAGCTTGGTTAGACAAACAGGAGCTAGAT